GGAGGGGCGGGGCCCGGGGTGGAGGGGCGGCCCTCACCGGTAACTATGGCCGGGATGCCCCAGCCCACGACGTGGTAGAACCTCATGGGGCCCCGGTCCACGTTGCGGGCCTCGGTCAGCACGCGGTGCACGTGCAGGCTCTCTACGAAGGTCCAGGCGAAGGCGCTCAAGTGGACGTAGTGCAGCAGGATGGCCACCACCGTGCACAGGAACTGTGGGGAGGCTGGTCAGCGCGCTGGGGCGGGGGAGCGGCCTGGGGCTGGAGGGGCGCCGGGGGGCGGGCCTGATTGCTTAGCTGGCGAGTCCGTCATTTATCTTTGTCAGAGGCCAGGGCTCAGAACACGCGAGGGCAGGACTTGTCACCGGACAGCACGCCCGCCAGCCCCGGAGCCACGGCCGGGCCACCCTCCCCCCAGGACGGGTATCCCCGCGGGGCTGGGCCACTGTCGGGCACCCCGTGTGGGGTCGGCTGCAGGGGCCCTCGAGGGCCAAACAGGGCAGCCGCCACCAAAATCATAGCCGGCGGGCGGGAGCCCTCGGGCACGTGGCGCCCTCGCCTGCACGCCACAACAGGAAGGAGTCACCCAACACGCACACAGGACAGGGCCCCCTCGCTGGCCCCCCCCCCAGCGCGTGAGAGGCCACTCTGCCGGCTCTCCCCAGTGGCCGCCCGTCGCGCCTTCCCCTCTAGGAAAGTGAGCCCCCCTTAGGGCCTGTGCGCGCGCTGAGGCCTGACCCGAGCCCCCTGCTCCCCGGAAGCAGCCAGCTGCTAGTAAAATGACCGCAGGCCTGTAGCTCGGCAGTGGACTGCTCCAGCGTTCACGTGCCCTTCGGGTGACCCACACGTGGCCTCGCAGGGAACGTGCCGTCTTCCGGCGAGGGCCAGTGCCAGCGGGAGCCCCAGGCCCCGTCCCTGGTCTGGACCTGGCGCGCGAGACCCTGGCGCGCCCGGGAGGTGCAGCTGGAGCGGCGCTGGCCTGCTTGTGGGGGGCTGCAGGTGGGGGCCCGGCCGAGTGGCCGCCAGCCCCTCCCTCCCCTGGGCGGAGTGGACCTCCCAGGCCCCCCCGCAAGGTCCTCCCCCTGGGAGGCTCCAGGCCACGCCCCATGGGAAGAGTCCCGGTGTGAGGGGGGCGGGTGCTGGGCTGGGGCCGCGTCCCCCCAGGGAGCAGGGGGCAGAAGCTCCACCAGATAGGGGCGGCGCCTCGTGTCCAGGCCCCGAGCCCAGGGGACCCGAGCCAAGCCTGCAGGGCAGCAGCTCACCGGGCTGTCGGTCTGCGCGATCCCGGCGACGAAGACCAGCTGGGAGCAGAACAGCGCCGCCACGAGGTTGCGGCGGATACTGCGCAGGTTGGAGCGCAGCGCGCGCACCAGCGCCGGGAGCGCGAAGGCCAGCAGCAGCGCGGCCAGCGCTAGGCCCACCGCGGCGTGGGTGACGATCCTCAGGGGCAGGACCTCCCCGTGCTGCGGGCGGCAGGCGGAGCGGTCAGGCGGCAGCCAGGGCGGGCACGCGCCGCGGTCATGACCGCTGGGTCCCCCCTCGGGCGGTGGGGCAGTGCTGCACCCGCGTGGGGAGGGCATCGCGACTGGAACAAAGCGTCGCCCAGGCCCGGGCTCGCGGGCCTGTCTCCCCAAAGCCTGCGCCTGGGCGTCCCCGCGGGCTGCCCGTCTCCAGAGGCCGCGTGTCGGGCGCAGGGCTGCAGCTGTCACCTGGCCCCTGCGAGCCCGGTGGACGGTGCGGGGTGGGCCCCCCCGGGGCCCTGGGGTCCTTCCTGCAGCTCCTTCCAGGGCCCGGCACCCTGCTCCTGCAGCTGGGGCCAGATGCTGCCCCGAGGCGCCCCGTGGAGCAGGGACCCCAGTCCCCCTGCTTGTTCCCCCCCCACCAGAACCCCAGTGTCCACGACCTGGGAGTCGGGGCCTGCAGTGCCAGCTCCTGGCCACCTGCGCACCCCAAATACACCCCGCTGTGGACCGGCCGCTAACTGGGGCTGGGACCGGGCTGCCTGCCGGGGAGTCAGGGGGCCCCGCACCCGTAGGCAGCCACTGGGCTGACCTGCCCCCTCGGGGTGTGGACAGGGAATGAGCTGCTGACCAGAAAGCCCTGGCAGGCCTCCTGCATAGGAGGGCGGGAGAGGTCACCTGGGGCTCCAGGGCCAGTCCCTGTGGCCCCTCCGCAGGCCAGTGGGACAGGGAGGAGCCCGTGCTGGGCGCCGGTGAAGCCTGCTTTGTTCCTGCCACCGCGCCTGCCCCTCCCATCGCCTGACACCCGCTGTGCCCCGCTTTGAAGCGAGGTACCCGGGCCCCTCGGGCAGGCGGGAGGCGCTGCCTTGCCCGCTTGCTGATTTACAGCCCCACGTCTGCAGATCCCTCGCGTTTTGTCATGGAAATGAGGTGAGCGGCGGGAGGGGGGGCGGCCACTCTGGGCCGGGCAGCCTGTCGCGCACCTCGCGGCGGGAGATGTCCATGAGCACGGCCACGCTGGCGGCCCGGCCGCACCGGCAGGCGACGTGGGTTCGGTTGCGGGACAGCAGCTCGCAGCCTCGGGCCGACCACGCTCCGGTCCCACTGGCGCTGCAGACACGGGGGCGAGCGGGCAGCCAGTCAGGGCCGTCACCCTGCGCGTGGGCCCCCGGTGGCCACCCCTGCTGCCCGGTCTCTGCCGAGCCAAACACTGGACCACGGCTCAGCAGAGGACCCGGGGTACGGGGGGGGGGGGGGAAGGGGCTTGTCCTGCGGGAGCAGGCTCCACATCACTGCTGGCCAGCCAGCGTCCAGCGTGGTGGGAGGGCACAGGAACAGTGTCCACCACGCACTGCTGCATGAGCCCAGCGGCTCATGCGGCCTGGAGGAGCACTGCGAGGTGGGAGAGGGTGGCCGCCCTCCCCCCACACCCCCTGATGGCGGTGTCCCCACCCCCATGACTCTGATGGAGGCCCCCAGCACCCCTCACCTGATGGAAGTGACTCCCCGCCATCACCCCACCCAATGGAGCCCCGCCCACCCGGTGGCGCCCCGCCCCGCGGAGCCCCGCCCACCCGGTGGAGCCCCGCCCACCCGGTGGAGCCCCGCCCACCCGGTGGAGCCCCGCCCACCCGATGGAGTGGTTCCAGAAGACGCAGACCGGCTTGCTGCGCTCCTCCGTCTCCAGCGTGGAGCCCCGCCCACCCGATGGAGTGGTTCCAGAAGACGCAGACCGGCTTGCTGCGCTCCTCCGTCTCCAGCAGGGTGAACTCCACCTGCACCGGCCGCTCCGGGGGGCCGGTCAGCGGGGCCCCCTCGCTGTGCACAACGGCGCTCACCACCGGCGTGTTGATGACGGGCCGGGCGGGCAGCCTGCGGGCATAGCACCGGGACGCTCGTCTCGCTGGGCCGGGCCGGGCCCCGGGGCACCGCCGGGCCTCGGGCCAAGCACGCAGACCCCCCACAGGTGCCGCTGGCTCGGCACTTCGGGTGTACAGAGGCAAGGGGGGCCAAGGGGGGGCAGAAGGGGGCTGTGGGTGGGGTGGGAGGGCCGGAGGGGCGGGGCAGAGGGGCCCGGGGCTCGTGTACGGCTGGGCCAGGGCTGGGTGACAGCCGCGGGGGTCTGCCAGCGATGAGACCCACGGGTCTGGGAAGGGTCCGGAAGGGGGGTAAGAGGTGAAGCCTTGGGGTGCACCTGCCAGGACTAGGGTGCGAGGCCCCTCCCTCGGCGCTTCCAGGCCGCCTGGGTATGGGTGTGCCGCGCCCCCCTGGCAGCAGCTCCGGGACCCGCTGGCCAGGACCCCAAGGGCCGCCTGGGCACCCCGCCCGCCACGCCCCAGCGGCCGGCATCTTGACTTGCCGCCCCCGCGGAAGCTTCCGGAAGCAGGGCTCCCGCCCGCGCTCAGGCCTTACCGCAGGCGGCGGTGGTCGGGGTCGTAGTGCTCGGGCAGGAGCTGCCCCAAGGTCCGGTAGATGACCACCAGGGCGACAGCAAACTGGCCGGGCTCCTCAGGGTGCCGCTTGTGCCTCTGTGGCGGGGGCCCGCCCTGCGCGCCGGGCCCGGGGAGCGCCGTCTGCGGGACGGCCCTCCTGCCGGCCGGCCTCGCCGTGGGGCCGTCTGCAACGGGGGCACGGCCTGAAGATGGACGCGCGGCCCAGCAAGCCGCTGCCCGCGCAGCCGGGGCTTCCCGAGCCGCAGGCTGTGGACACGGCAGGAAGCAGCCAGGCCCTGCCATCCACTCCCAGAGGACGCCGGCGCCCAGAGGAACCAGCCCGTGGCCGCGCCGCTCGTGGCATCACGGTCGGCTGCAGAGGGCCACGGCCACGGTCACAGTCACCCTGCCGGGCCTCACTGGGGGGAGGGGCGGCGTGGGAGGTCGGCGGGGGCTCCACGGAGCAGCCCCCCCCCACGAGCAGCTCTGAGCGGGGTGTCTGCACCCAGCACGCCCCGAAGGTGCAAAGGGTCTCACCTTTCCTCTCCGGGGGCCTGAAGAAGTCGGCAGAGAAGAGGACCGAGGACTGCAGCCCCCGGGGGACGTCCCCCCGCGCGTCCTGGAACCGCGGGACCCCGGCTCCCGTGAAGTTGAGCTTGTCGAAGACGTCGACGGCGAGGACTGGGGGACGGGCGGCTTCAGCCCCGGCGCACGC